TATATATATATATATATATATATATATATATATATATATATATAATTGGATAAATTTGGAAATAAGCACTGCCTATTCAAGGAAACAAATCCCTAAGATTGTGGGATTGATATGCTAGTAATAAAACCATGAACAGCATATATACAGAATTAAAAACAAGAATCAAATCTGAAACTTCCTTCAAGCTGGTGCACAAGTGTTCTTCATTCCCAGCTCAAATATAATTATCTCAAAGTTATTGTTGTTCAGCCCCTTGGTAAGTATGTCTACAAGCTTTCCTTGAGTAGAAACATATGGAGTGCTGATCAAGCCATATATTTGTAGGTGTTTTAATGGTAATAGCACGATAGACCTAACAAACTTTTCTAAAATAGGCTCAAATAATATCTGAGAAAGTCTAATTCAACTACACACAAACCAACTCTCAAGGTAAAGTTTACACTTATATATTATAGTTGGGTTATATCTCTAGTCAATTTCGATCTCCAATAGTAACTAATTCTAGGAGACGAGGGAAATAAGGAAGGTAAACACAAAGGATAATGTATGATAAAATATTTTCTTATATTACACACAAACCTAAAAAAGATAAAAATAAAAATTAAAGTTAAAGCTCAGTTAGCTTGTGTTTCAATGTAGTATCAATACACTGGTGATAGTGGCCAAAGGTAGACAAAATAAAGAACATGCTAAAAAACCTGAAAGATCCATAACAATAAACTACATCCCCACAGTGTCAAAATAGCAGCTATAGGCCAACTCTGTTTTGCTCCATGAATGTATTGCAGTCTTGTTAATGTAGGTTAAGTATAGATAATTCAGATATTGATTGGACCAGAACAACTAGTAAACCATCTGCCTACAAAATGCATCTTAGCACTTCTAAATTTATATCCGTTGCTACAGCTTAAGATTGTAGCATAGAAGTTATTAAATTTTGCCTCAATAAAGGATGGGAGTTATACAATTAATTTAATCAGCAAGAGACATAGATTCATATCACAATTCATAAAAATAAAACCCATCAAAACAAACAATCTATCAAGAAGGTGAAATGTTACATTTCCTGGATGCTCCTGTGAAAGTTTTCCTATACACCATGTATCCCGCCTCTTGTCCTGCAGTGCATGCATGAAAACGTAATCACTAAATGGTAGAGAGCAAAGGAGGAGACAAGGACAAAAACATCATGCAAAAGCACAATAGTTTCACAGGTTGACATTAAGAAAAAGTAAATATGTTTACATGTGCAGCAATTGCATGAAGAGAAATGGAAATAACAGAATTAAAGATGAGATTAGGAAAATCAGTTTCTGGAGCAAAGTTTCATTACCTACAATTCTTGCATAAGCGAAATTGGTGATTATTGCTTTAGAAGCAGGTTGTTAGTTCTTATAGCATCCTCTTTAATTGTGATTAGTATTTTACATTTGGAAGAAATAAGTGGCATCCAGGTTTACAGAGACATTTATCAATTATCGTGTGCATATTATTGACTTCAAGTTGTGTACTGCTATTATTGACTAATTCATTGTGGGACTTAACATTCTCCTTGTCACTGTTCTATAACTCCAGACTCAAGTGTTACAAAACCCGAAATTGCTTTGAGAACAGTATTTGGAGTATTTCCTTACCAAACATCAAACAAAGGGCTCATTTTTAAATCAAGGACCTACTTGAAGGCAATAGAGTTAACCCAAGATACAGAAGCAAAATCAAAACAATCAGTAGTTACAACTTTCAGCCTAAACTTTGGCAACAAAGCAATGTTGGAAAGAATCTGAAATGTAGTAGCTACAAATGATTCAGTCCCTGCAGCCCTTAGGAATTAGTTAATAATAGTTATGTATTACAAGTTTGTGATAGTAGGAAACTGTATGTGACAGCTATTTGTAGAAAATAACTAGCAGTTCACTCAATTAATAAGAAGACAAGGCTAAACTAAAAGGCAAACAAATCATACCTTACTTAAGAGTTTCCTCTAAAGGGAAAGGTGCTGCACTAACCAGTCTAGTTTGAAACACCATCCACATTATGATGAAGGTTGCTCGCTCAAAATACCCCCATGGCTGTAGACCAACAAATACCCCCATGAATCCCAATGTAAAACTTTGGGGAGAAGGAAGTGTTCCCATTGATATTGGAATATACCAAAGGTTAGTTGGTAAACTAATTTACTAGTCTTGTACCTAGGCTGACATTGCTTTTTCAAAATGTTAAGTCGGTTAATGCACTCTCCTTGTGAAGAAAAACCTTGAGGCAGATTCAGGAAAAAGTTTTCTTTAGAAAGAAACAGTAACTTGGAAAAGCTAGAAAGCCCTTGCGAGAAACCAAGTTTAGAGCAATGGTCCAAGGAATTTGTGAAGGACTAGAGTGGATCTCTCGCTGAAGTTGCACTATGAAAGCGAGGGTACAATAAGCACAGCCAATAATCCCATCGAGCATGTAAAACAAATCTCATTGAGATTGATCACCACCACTTTATAAAAGAGAATTTGGATGCTGGAATTATCTGCTTGCCATTCATGCCTTCCAATATACAGCTGACATCTTTGACCAATAGCAAGACTTGTGTTTTAGAGCTTGATAAGCAAGTTGGGCATGATAGATATCAGTGCATCAACTTAAAGGGGTAGGAATTAAAGGTAAGCAGTGTGCTTTGCTCTACGCATCAAGGATTTTATTTATTCTTATGAGAAATAGAGAAGATTGGGAGAAAATATCCCTTGTGTGTTT